TGTATAGAAAAAACTAGCTGGATACTCGTGCTTTGCTACGAAACTATGTGGTGGGGCTTAGTTTTTGGAGAGGAAAATAAGGGGAAGAAATTCTGCCTCTGCCTACCGGCCTCCATCGGTATTCATCTGGCTAGCATCCTGTCTGTGTGTGATAGATTTAACAGATTTAACAGATAATCAGAGTTGGAAGGGACCTTGTAGGTCATCTAGTCCAACCCCCCGCCCAAGCGGGAAACCCTACACCATTTCTGACAGGTGGGCGTCCAGTCTCTTCTTGAAAGTCTCCAGGGGATGAAGCTCCCACAACTTCTGAGGGCAACTTCTGTTCCACGGGTTGATAGTTCTCACTGTCAGAAAGTTTCTCCTTATTTCCAGGTTAAATCTCTCCTTGTTCCGTTTCCATCCATTATTCCTTGACTGGCCTACAGGCGCTGACAGAGTTGAGGGCTGTTTGGAAACTGAAACAGTATTTGCTGTGTGAGCAAGGAGACAGCAAGGAGCCTGGGTGTGGCTTAGCTCAACTGTTCTGTACTAAAGCTGCTTGGTGCTGCTATGAAACTGAAACTCCTCTGCCTGTGTTTTGCATTTGGAAGAGATTTCTTTCCAGGTGGGGAGGGGGAGTAGAACTCCTTAGCATCAGAGCGTGTTAATAATAATAATATAGGAAATACTCTGATGGTCGTTTTGAAAAATCTTTTCTTAGTGAGCATCTAGAAGCCAAGAGGAAGATACAGGTCAAATTTCAAGTTTGTAGGCTTTACGGTTCTGGAGATTTTGTGATGATGCCTGAGGGGTATCTTCACTTTTATATAGATAGATACATAGATTTTATTCATGGTTTATTTCTTTGACATCCATAAGTCCTTAGTGAACAGCATGTTGTCTGGGACGATATACTTTATACGCAATACTACTAATAATGATACTATTTAAATAAACATAATCATAATCTTTCCACTTCTAACATTTTCATGTACATTGTAATTATAATACATTCCATTATATATCAGTACACATAATCTTATTTTCCCAATTTCTACTTTCTACCCCATTTTTTCCTAACTCTTAGTAAAATATCCATCATATTAAGAAGTGTTCTATCTCTATCTGTCATCTCTTCATCTTTTTAAAATGTCAACTCTTATTGGGCAGTGGTTTTTAAACCACTTTTAAGCAGCAAATGTGAGAACAGACCAACGTAAATGTGAATCGACAGTCAAGCCTCCAAATGTAAATCACGTGACCACAGAGGACGCTGCAATGGTCATAAGTGTGAAACATGGTCATAAGTCATGTTTTTTTCAGTGCTGTTGTAACTTCGGTCACTAAGCGAACTGCTGTTAAGTCAAGGACTACCTGTACTTAGTTTGTGTTAAGTGAGTCACACATCCATTTTTATAACCTTATTTTGCCACAGTTGTGAGGGGAATCTCGGGGTCACTAAGTGAATTTGGCTTTTCTCCCCTGTTGACTTTGCTTTTTGGAAGCCGGCTGGGAAGGTCAGAAATGGGGATGGGGAAATGGACATAAGCATGAGGACTTTGGTCATAAGTGTGAGAACTGAAAAAACGAGGATGAGGAAATGGACATAAGTGTGAGGACTTTGGTCATAAGTGTGAGGACTGAAAAAGCGAGGACTGAAAAAATGAGGATGAGGAAATGGACATAAGTGTGAGAACTTCAGTCATAAATGTGAGGACTGATAAAATCACTTTTTTTAGTGCCCTTGTAGTATCGACCGTCGTTAAACAAATGGACGAATTGTGGTTCCTGCTTTTTAACTGCAATAGGTATTGTATGGTTTGGGTTTATTAAAAAAATTATGTTTAAAATGTGGGATACGCCATCACAGTTAACGTTGGAGAATTAGAGAAATAAATGTTATTAGAGAAATTCTAAAAAAATCCTTTCAAGCTACAAGAGAAGAGACAGGTGGCTGAGGAGATATTTTTAAAAAAATCCGGCTGGATTTTTGGCCTTTGCGGTGCCTGAGTCCGAATGGGAGAAAATATATATTTGTTTTTTTTCTCAGAAGAGATGAGGTTGCATTAGAGCTCCCATTGTGGGCTGCCAACCTGAAGAGTTGAGCTTAAGAATGAAAAATTAATAGAATTAAGGGGAAATTTCCTGTCAGTGTGAACAAATAATCAGTGGAATGGCTTCCCTCCAGAAACTGTGCTTGCTCCAACCACGGAGGGTTTTTTTAGAAGAAACTGGACGGCCCTTTGTCTGAAATGGTAGAGGATTTCTTGCTTCAGCAGGGGGTCAGACTAGAAGACCTCCAAGGTCCCTTCCAGCTCTGTTATTCTGTAAAAGTTCAGAAGAGAAGAACTAGGGGTGATATGATAGCACTCTTCTGGTGTTTGAGGGGCTGCCCCAAAGAAGAGGGAAGCGCCAGAACACCCGAGGGCAGGACAAGAAGCAACGGATGGAAACTTGTCAAGGAGAGAAGCTACTCAGGACTGAGGAGGAAGTTCCTGAGTAATTAAAACAATTCACCAGTGGAACGACTTGCCACCAGAAGTTGTGTGTGCTCCAGCAGTGGACAGCCATCTGTTTTTAAGAAGAGACTGACAGCCGTTTTGTCTGAAAGGGTAGAGGGTCTCCTGCTTGAGCAGGGGGTCAGACTAGAAGACCTCCAAGGTCCCTTCCAACTCTGCTATTCTATATTCTGTAATCCTATCTGTTTTTCAGGGCAGCAAGTAGGTTGATCTGGTTTGTTAATCTTTGGAGAGAGACTCAACAAGCTAAATTCTCCATAGATAAGGGTTCAGTCCTCTTTACACGACCAGTTTCTCCGCTGTGACCACTTGACTTGACTTATGACCAGTCTCTTAGCAACCTTTCAGCGTTACAAATGGCCAAAAACGTGGGACTTAACGATCCAGATCCGAAGTTCCCGCAGTCACATTCGGGACCCTCCGAGCAACGAAAATGTTTTCAGGGAATTGTAGCCCCAAATTTAAGTGAATGATAACAAACGCCCGTTGTTGAGCGGGACGTTTGTTAAGCGAGTTTTGCCCCATTTTATGACCTTTCTTGCCACCGGGGTGAAGCGAATCTCTGCCAGTGATAAGTCCATAACACGGTCGTTAAGTGAATCTGGCTTCCCCATTGACTTTGCTTGTCAGAAAGTCGCAAAAGGGGATCCCGTGACCCTACAACCCTTTCATCATCTCCTTTTAATGACCCCATAATCCTTTGCGGGGTGGATTCTGGGCAACTGAATGGAGCAAGCAGAGTGTTTTAATGGCCGGATGCCCTTCCTGTCACGAGGACAGAGTTTTGTTCGGCGGATAGATTCTCAGAGTGTGTCCAGCGAAAGAAATACCTGCCTCTACCTAAAATCAAACTCACAGCCTCCTGATTGTGAGGCGAGAGCACCACTCCAAACCCCACCACACTTTGACCGTCATAAATACAAGCCCCTTGCCAATTGTTTGACCACATGACTATGAGGATGCTAAAACAGTCATAAGTGTGAGAAACGGCCGTAAGTTGCTTTTTTTTAGTGCCATTGTAATTTCAAAAGGCCACTAAACGAACATTGTACGTCGAGGACAACCTATCCATGACGCCCTACAAAAGCAACTTTCTTCCCTAAATCAAGGTTTCTCCATCTTGGCGTCTTTTAAGATGGTAGATTTCAACTTCCTGCGCTGCATTCTAGGAACTTGATATGAAATAATGAAAAATAAAATTATTCTGAGGAAGAGGAGCCCGTGTGTGTTTTTCTCCCCTTTGGAGATTTTTGAAGCTTTTTTTTTTAGGGCCTCTAAACGTCCAGCTGATCCCTTTCGAGCCTCTTTGACACTCGGATTTAGCCTCGATTCCTTGCTAGCGCCGGCTTTGTAACCCGTAATATGACTTAACAGTAGAGTCACGCAGAATCGTGATTCATCGAAGACGAAAAAGCATTTGGACTGAGTCAGAAACTTATTTTTAGAACTCCTCAGGGCAACAGTCGGCTTGGAAGAGGGCAAGGGAGCCCCCTGCTGGGAGAGATTACAGTTTGGACAGAAATCTGGAAGGACATCAGTAACCGATAATCAGGGTTGGAAGGGACCCTGTAGGTCATCTAGTCCAACCCCCTGCGAAAGCAAGAAACCCTAAGCCACTTCTGACAGATGGGAGTCCAGTCTCTTCTTTTAAATATATATATATGTTTTCTGAGGTTCTCGCGGGTATTTGTATGTGCACAGAGCCAAAGACAGAAGCCTGAAGATGATGAATGAGACTTCATTGAAACGTTGCCTAGATACTTCGAATCTTATGCGGGAGAAAACCCGAACAACCAAAGATAGATAGATCTATCTATCTATCTATCTATCTATCTATCTATCTATCTATCTATATACATACATACATACATACATACATACATACATACATACACACATACATTTTTCTTTGGTATACATAAGTGCTTAATAAACAGTGTATTGCCTGGATCAATAATAATAATAATAATAATAATAATAATAATAATAATAACAACAACAACAACAACAACAACAAGCATCCTAAATGCTTGGGAAGTGTCCAACTAGTGATTTGTGATACGAAACCCAGCATAGTTATCTCGTTTGCTGTGTCCACTGCTTATTCTTGTGAACGTGTCATTGCCTGCTTTAATGACCTCTAATTTGCATTTAGAGACCTGCTCCTTTGATATGTGGAATGCATCTGGGTAACTTATTTGGGGTTTAAGGTCGTTTAAGTAAAACATTTCTCCCGTTTGCTGTTTTTGCTTGATTTAGTTTCGGATTGACTGTCAGTTCTCTAGCAGCGATGCCCATTCTCAGTCCGGGGTGGGTCCCGTTCATGTTTGAGGGGAGATGGGGCGAGCATAGAGAGGGATAAAATGTGTTTTGATACGAAACTTTCCCCAGAAGGGTGAGCACCCAATCCCAGCTCCTCTTCAGGAAACGGATGGAGCTTGCTTTGTTCTAGCAGGACCCTTCCACCATCTCAAGCCTTCTTCCATCTTGTTTTTTCAGGTTCTTTCTTCCCTTCCCTGAAGCCCTCGGGAGTCGCCTTCAAGATTATCTTCTGGCTGGGCTACTTCAACAGCTGTGTGAATCCCATCATCTACCCCTGCTCCAGCAAGGAGTTCAAGCGAGCTTTCACCCGCCTGCTCAAGTGCCAGTGTCGGCGGAGGAGGCCCATCTGGAGGGTTTATGACCACCCTTGGCGAGGGGCCTCCATCAACGGCTCCAGCCGCTCCCGGATCTCCACCCTCAACGGGTCCTTCATATTGAACTCCCGCAGCTTGGAACGGTCCAGCAAGAGGAGGACTCTGAACTGCAAGCGGTGGAGGATATTTTCTCCTTCCCACAAACCCACCATCCAGCTGAAGGAGAAGATGAACAGCCTCTCCCACAAGATTCGTGGGAGCTCCCTCCGGGGCGGCATGGCGGCTTCCTTCAAAACCGAGGTGGAGTCGGTTTCCATTGGCATCCCCAATGACTTCTTGGAATGCATCGACTATCAAATGTACGACGATCTGACGGACTCCGAATCGTGTGGGCTTAAAGAAACGGATATTTGACACAATGGGGTTGTTGTTTTTGGTTGTTTTTTTTTCTGGATCCCGTTGGGTTTGTCTCCATCTTATAAGTGGACAAAGGCGGGTGCACTCCGTGAGTGAGACAGGTAGACTAACCAAGGTAGTCAACAGCCCGTTGGTAGAAATCCATGCTTCGCATACGGAAGAAGGCCCCATTTTCCCTTTGACCCACAAGGCGCACTTTCGGCGGGTCCTTAGAACTCTCCAAGCTGGGTGGTTTCTTGGCAGATGTTTCATGACCCTACTAGGTAACACAGGGGTGGGATTCAAAAATCCCAGCAACCAGTTCGCTGCCCGGTTGCTGGGTGGACATGGCCTACTGGGACGACCATTTTTCACCTTTCCCAGAGTCAGGAGGCTTCCCTCGGGCCTCTGGGAGGGCGAAAACAGCCTCCCCTGGGCCCTGGAGGCCCTCCGGAAGCCGGATGTCAGTGCTCCAGTAGTTACCCCCCCCCCCATTTAAATCATGAGTCTCTAGCCGGATATTCAAAGCTTAAAGAAGAGAAAAACATGCCGGTGCTACCTGGGTGTAGCACCAGAGACCACATCATTCATTGTCACCCTTGACCCTGTTTTTTCCCTCACCCCCTGTGTGTATTATAATTCATATTCTCCAATGGGACACATCCATAGCCAAAAGTCATCCATCAGGCTCTTCGGTTAGATATTTGCGTGGCAGAAACTTCGGTCACCTAGAAACTATCTGTGAAAACATTTACGGGATGCAGTTTCGGTTTTGCAAGCTACCACACTGGTTCCCCCTCCCTTTCTGCTGGCAACTCTAAAAGACCAGAGGAATATTTTATGAGTTGACACCGGAAACAGGCCCGTTTCCAGACTTCCAGAAGGCCCGTTTTCCCCCTCCCAGAGCCTTCGCACAGACCGTGCACTTACCTGCATCCAAAATGGGTCACGTGGAGGGGAGGGGCAAGAGGGGCGGAGCCAGCCGGTCAGTTCAACTACCAGTTCAGCGAACCAGATGCAAATTTAACTTCGCCCAAACCGGTCCGAACCGGCTGAATCCGCCCCCCCTGAGGTAACATCATCAGTGCTAGAAACGGGGTTGGGTTTTCTCTCTATTTTTATACATGCAACCCCACTCTTTTCTAGCACTGATGGTGTCACCTAGTTGTGTCATGAAACATCTTCGAGAAAAGCACGAAGCTCAGAGAGCCACCCAAAACCCTCACAGTTCAACCCTCAACTACAAATATTCTCGCTTATTCGTATACATTCCCGCGTCTCCGATGAGTAAGAGCAGTTATATCATAACCCTGGTGGGAAACGGAGTTGCAGTTAGCAAAAGAAGGTCAGGTGACCATGATGTTGAGAAAGATATGTACAGCTAGTCCTCAATGTACAATCACAATTGAGCCCCAGATTTCGGTTGCTGAAGGAGACTGCTGTTAAATGAATTCTGCCCCATTTTTCTTGCCACCGTTACTAAGTGAATCATTGCAATTTAAGTTAAGGCTGTAAAACCTGGCATGACTCCCTGAATAGTTGCCAAGCATCCGAATCCTGATCAGGTGACCATGGGTTCACTGCGATGGTCATAAGTTTGAAAAATGGCCGTAAGTCATTTTTCCAGGGCTGTCGTAACTTCGAACAGTCACTAAATGGATGCTTATGAGTCGAGGACAGTTGCAAGCAGTTGTAAGTGAGCCTCCAATACTGTACTCTAGGTTTGAGTTGTCTTGGTCTTGGAATATTTCTTCAAAAACGTTGTGCAGGTTTTTAGTTGTATAATCAGCGTTATACTATGCCAAACATTTTGATTCTTTGCAAAAAAAAAAAATTCATTTTCCCTCCGTGTTTTTACTTTCTTTTGATGGAAAAGATAGTTTTGGTTCTGAAAATGTGTCCAAGCCGCAATAGGAGGAATTGGTTGAATCAAAACCATCTCATGTTGTCAACTAGAGGATATTGTGAGGAGAGAGAATAGTTCATACATCGCCTTGGACGAAAGAAAATTTAACAAATGATCGAATTATTCCAAGATTTCTCTACTTGCAAAGCAACCTGGATGTCTCTTGAGAAGAAGATACTTACTACCTTCCCATTAGGACAATATTTGGCATGGCTTAAGATGAATTGGGGGGATCTTGGTCATCGTGGGCGTGGGGGAAGGGCTAAATTAGGACAATGTTTGACGATGCTAGGATGTCTGGACTTCAACTCCCAAAATTCCACAGTCAAAATGCTGGCTGGGGAATTCTGGGAGCTGAAGTCCTCACACATCTTTCCTTCCCATTAGGACAATGTTTGGCCATGCTAAGATGTCTGGACTTCAAGTCCCAGAATTCCACAGTCAACGTACTGACTGGAGAATTCTGGGAGTTGAAATCCACCCATCTTCAAGGTTGTAAAATCACAGCATTAGGGAAAGGAAAATCAACCACAAAATAGTTCTTCTTTGTTGTGATTTCATAGGTCACAACTGACTTCATCCGATGCATTAAGTTAATTGAGAAAAAAAAAGACCAAAAAATAAGCCAGGTTCTGCAGCAGAATCATGGATGGAGGAAGCCAAGTTAATAACTTACCGAAGTAGTTATTTCTACTTTATTTAAAGTACTACAATGTCCTGGACTGTCAGTTCCGAGTTAGCCCAAAATAATTGTCTCCAAAATATTCTACTTGCAGTAGAACAGGAACTCACCCAAGTCCGTGGACATTGTATTTTGCCAAGTGATTTGGCACAAGGATTCCTAACTATCCCGCAGAATAAAAATAAATACAGAATAACAGGATTGGAAGGGACCTTGGAGGTCTTCTAGTCCAACCCCTTGCTCAAGCATTGTACCATTCCAGACAAAATGCAAGAGTCAGAATTCAACATCTCATAATATATTGTATAACTTTCAGGCCCAGCGTGTGAGCCAAAATCAGTGGCCCAACTTGGCTACCTGCTCACTGTCTAACAGGAAGGCCAGCCTTGAAAAAAGGGACAATAATACAGGTGGTCCTCAATTTACAATCATAACTGAGCCCAAAATATCTGTTGCTAAGTGAAACATTTTTAAAGTGAATTTTGACCATTCTGACCACAATTGTTAAGTGAATCCCTGCAGTTGTTAAGTGGATGACATGGTTGTTAAGTGAATCTGGCTTCCCCCATTAATGTTCTGACTCAAACCCTTTTCCAAGAAAACAAACATGAACCAAAGGGAACAGAAACCTTTTAATGATTCTTGCGAATCCCCAGTTAAAAGGCTTCTGCAAACTAATTAACTTTGATAAGCACAAACTTTGCCAAAACTGTGCGAGGCTGCCAAGAATCACAGATAAGGTTACCTAGAAATATTTTACAACACAAGAGTCTTCAGATACCAACTTAAAATACTGTAATGTCCACGAGGCTGAGTTTCAAAACGTCTTTGCTTCCTGCAAAGAACGTCCGATTCACAGCGGGCTTTTATCTTCTTGAAGGAGGGGCCATCACCTTGCAGCCTTACTCCCGAGTTGCCCATGCTGTTGCAGCTGCTCTTTCCTGTGAGCAGCCCTGCGCGCATGTGCACTTGGCACAGGCTCCTCGGGAACCTCCTCATTGCTGCTGCCAGCCCCCACAATCTCCAAAGGCAGCAGTCCACTCCCTGATGGTCCTGGCCCCTCATCTGAGTCCTCGCTCTCCTCAGCCGTCCAAACCTGCTGCCGGCTAACCACAACAATTAACTTTACTTGTCCGAAGGTCACATGTCACCCCAGGACATTGCAACTGTCATAAATAGGGTCGCCAAGCATCTGAATTTTTCTCGCAGGACCGTGGGGAGGCTGCAAGGTCATGTCTGAAAAAGGATTTAAAAAACTCCCTTTTTTCCCCCAGTTCCGTTGCATCTTTGAACGATCACTAAATGTCCTAAAGAATGATTTGCAACTTTGTCGAATTTTACACGGCGCTTTCAGAAAATCCCCTCCTGCAATCTTCTAAATCAGTTTTTGTTTTTGTTTTCAATTTTGGTAACTTTAAAAATGGTCAGACTGGATAAGTCTGGGTGTTGATGTCCGGCCTGTCAAAGCCGCCACATGCACATGCACCGCCATTCAAATCACAAGTCTCTAGCCACATCCCTCATAAATAATAAAATTGATTTATTTAGAAGTGGCCATGTTGGCGTTAGCTGGGTGCAGCCGATACTAAAATACATCACTCATTTCCCCCTAGACCCTGGTCTTCCCCCCACCCCCTGGATGTATATTCTCCAATGGGACACATCCATAGCCCAGAGTCATCAATCAGGCTCTCCAGTAATAATCTTTCGCGCCAACAGTTTCGGCTGCCTAGCAATTATCTGAAGCATTTAAGGAATGCACTGCTTTCTCCCACTCCCTTTCTGCTGGCAACTAAAAAGACCAAAGGAGTATGTTTTAGTTGACACAGCCATCTTAGAAGTTGCCAAGACTGAAAAAAAACACAGTTGTAACTTTGAATGCTCACTAAATCATCTGCTGTAAGTCAGGGACTATCCATAGAGGTTCATTTTCCAAGGACAAGAAGTCAGAAGTTGAGGCGATGGAAACAAGAGACATTGTAGTCGAGAAGAAAAGGGACGCTTGATGTTCAGAATATGTCATTCTAAAATGTGGGCTTGTCTGAACTTTGTACATCGGGCTGAAATTCTCCATCACTGACCCAACGGAAGAGCGAAAACTTCCTCTGCTTTGGTGTCGGACTGATGTTTTCTAACCTTTCTATTTTATTGTTTACAGAAAGTGTGTACATAGGTGTGCATTTTGTTGAATTTTGGCTATTCTACACCCCGGTTCTTTGGCTCCCTTCCACCTTAAAAATCTACCTGTGTATTTATTCGCAGAGGAAAAAACGGTGGATGGATTCCTCTCGACTTTTCCAAACAGAATGTACATTATATTCTTCTGTTTCTTTGTACCAAATACATGCACAATTTTTCCGTCTGGGCACTGTTTCTCTCACACCGTGTGGCTTCTTCCTTGGTTGGTTCTCCCACTTAAGAACCACCGCAGATGATTTTTTTAAAAAAATGTGTCGTTTTCTTTTTGGGGAAAGAATATCAAAGAAAAGTCTGTCGAGATTCTCAAATCATCCAGGTGATGGTTGTCCACCCAAGGTGCTTTTTTCAGGAGGCAGTTGGACTTTCTTGTTTTTTCCTTTGAAGGCATTTCACTTCTCATCCCAGAAGCTTCTTCAGCTCTGACAGGATAAGTGGGGAAG